GGCAGAGTCTACAAGCCAAGGAATGCTTAAGATGGCCAGCAAATCACCAGAAGTTAGGAGAAAGACTGGGACAGATTCTCTTGCAGTGCTCAGAGGAACCAACCCTGCCAACACCTTGTTCTCGGACATCTGGTCTCTAGAACTGAGACAAGACATCTCTGTTGTTTCCATCCCCCAGTGTGCAGTGCTTTGTTACAGCAGCCCCACAAGACTAATACTTCTCTGCACAAAAACTCTCTCAAATGCTGACTAGCTAATACTTCCTGCTACAGCCCAACTGACCCCAAAGCCCCTCCTAGGGGGAGGCGTTTCCCCATGTAAACGTCTACTGCCCCCACTGACCCTCTCCCAAGGTCAAGCCTGGAATGGGGGAGGTCTTCTGTCTGCAGTTTCTGTCCTTCCAGCCCAGAGACTTGTCGGCAGCTTCAGTGCCTTTCCCCATTCCAACCAAGGAAAAGAACTTCTGCCACTTTCCCTTCCTCCTCACCCTTCCCCACCCCCCTTTTAGCTACTTCTCATCTCCTTGTTCCCACAAAGCAGAGGTACATGCCTCAACAAGCCTGCCCAAAAGAACCTTCCTAGTTCCCCTTGCCCCTTCTCCCCAAAGCCTCACCCCTAGTGTGTGTGTAAAATGAAGCCCCGCCTCCCAGGTCCCACTCTGGGTAAAAGTTGCATTTTCTGCGATTTCCTGTCTTTCCAGGACCCATGTCTCCCCAGATGGCTCTCCCTTATGGGGTGTTTAATTATTCATTCAAAAGTATTAATTAATCACTCAAGAAGCGCTGTGCTAGAAGCTTCAGGAGTGTCTGAGACAGAGAACCACCTGTGTCTCATGGAAGTTGAAACGTGGTAATCATCTACATGTGACAGGTTAAGACTCTCCTTAGGCTAACTCCAATAGATTTGTATAGGCTTCCTGAAGACGACTGGGATTTCTAAGATGTCATCTTGGTTCCATGAGAGTGATAGATAGGAGTACGTCTTTGAGGACATGGAGTGGGGGATGCCCACATGGGAAGACCATGATATTTGCTACCACCAAAGTAGACTCTGATCTCCATGTCTATCTACTAAGTGAACTTAGGCAACTCTTTACCGCACACAGCAATTGAACCTCCAACTGCTTGGATAAGTATTTTAACAAGTAAATGATAACCAATAAAACTAGCAATCCTAGCACATATAGGTATTTTAGGTTACCTGATTTTAAGACAGGATAGAGCGGGGGTAGGGAGGAAATAGGAGAACCAAAATAATTACAGTACAAGGCAGAAGAGGTTTTAAGAGCAGTAAGAAGTATGGGTACAGAATGCCATGGGAATTGAAAGGCAGCTTCCAACTGAGATCATCTCCCTCGTCTTGAAAGGTAGAGGCAGAAAGAGTGGGGCATATTCATGGGTCTACGGTAATATAAGAGAAGGAAATCTTGATCAAGAATAGAGAGCCCTGAATTCCAGGCTAAAGACTTAGGATTTTAGTAAAACATAGAAATCTCTGAGCAAAGTCAAGTTTCACAGCAAACTAGTGGGATACTATTTGCACTTAGGAGAGAAACAACTGGAAGCAAATTTTGACTGTACAGTTCCACATGGGATACCAACTGGGTTATGCTGGTACAGTGGCATCTTCTTTGTTCCTAGTTAAGCCTAACTAGCCATGAAAAAGTTACCATTTATGACCATTGTTTATGTATTAGGCATATGATGTGGTCTTGACAGCTTCTTATTAGTACATTCAGGCAGATCATGCTATTATGGAAACTAAGATTTCAAGAGCCAGTCTGCCCAATACCACACAGCAGTAAGTGGTCGAGACAAGGCTGTAACCAGGTCCCATTTGAGCCAGGACACCAAGCACCTGAAGCTAGGTGGGCCAGTGAGGGAACTAACTATGGGCTAATAATACAGCGACCGTTGACTGCTTTTAACTCAAGATTTCACACACATGAAAAAGTCTCAATGACACGGAAAACCTTCAGAAAGAAAGGACTTCTTTGTTTTGTGGTCCATTAGCACTCATTCCTGTCTGTAATACAGTAACGGAAAGCGCTGGGCCGACATGTGGTTGTTTTTCACAGTCTCTTGAAATGTTCCTGGCCACATGATACCTCCTGATGGCAAAAGGATTCCTCTTCATTACAGATCACAACTTTCACCCCTCCTTCCCTTTCCTTTCTGGACATACTTCTTTGGCAGGTATAGATGCATCAATAAGGAAAATCAAAACTGACAGTGTTTCATGCGCCTAACTCCTCTGTAATAGGATTCCGTGATTCAGGGTTGTTGTTTCAAACTGGGAGGACTCTGGGGCCTTTGGCAGGTTCCACTGGTCTGGAAGGTACTTCCTCATCACAAAGGATGCTCCAGCCACAAGAAACGACTCAACTAATAGGCACAAATCACCTTCCTCCAAGCAAGTGATAGAGCTCAACTCTTCCAGAAGCAAGGGAGAGTCTGTTAAAGGGTAGAGCAGGAACACCTTGGGATGGACTAAGCTCTCTTCAAAATCCAAGCCAACAAGAACACAAACCACTTTCTAGGGAGCCCTCATGTCAACCCTGCAGATTATAATTCATTTGTAGACAATCTTTTCTAGGAAGAAACACGCCAGTTACATCAGACTAAACCACATGAAATTGCTATTTAGCTATCATTTTGCCCACAAAAACAGTCATTTCACATAAATCAACCTAATAATAATCGTAGCAATGTGTAGTATTCTCAAAATGTTCCCTGTATTTCTTTTTCAATTTAAATGGAGACCTTGGGTTGTAAAAATAAAATGAGAAAATACAGCACATACTAAATTCTTAATAAATATCTGTTGAATCATCAAGTATATAAAGCCTAGTGATCTGATGGTCTCGCTTGTATCTAGGACGTACTAGGAACAAACTTTCTAATGTGAGAGTGAATGCACTTTAATGCTTCAAAGTTGAGTTTCACCAAAGCTTGAAGAAATAATAAAAAAATTCCACTTGATTTATATATGTACATTTTTATTAGAATTCTTCAGAACGGTCAACAATGGACAACATAACGGGAAAAAAACACACATGGAACACCAACATCCTTTAAACTTGCACCGCTTACATATTTACACATAAAGTTACTGTATATATAAAAAATATTTTCAAGGACTCATGGGCTTGGGAATATTCAAAAGACATTATTGCTACATTTCAATATTTACAAAAAAGCCATAAAACAATTTTAAACAGTAAGCAACAGCAAAGAAACATCCAATGTAAAAAAAAAATATAAAAATATAAACTTTCAAGAATATCCAAGACAAAACTCTCAGTGAGGTGCCCCTGAAGTACCTAGACATCTACAATGAACCACCACTTTTCCTACTATAATCAAAGGCAACAGAAACACAAAGGAAATGTTCCAACAGAGGATGGCAAACAGCGACGATCTCTCACGTGACAACAAAACCCCAAAATCTGTTACCTTTGGAAAGGTGCGAGAGTATAGAACTCCAGTGCAAATGGTAACTTCCAGATAAATGACCACAGTTCTCTAAGCGGAGTCTGAGGGACCCAGGAGGGGGAACCGTGTAGGCAGCACACCCGAATCTCACGAGACAACACACAAACCTCGGCGCACACCCATGGACCTCTGACAGTTGGGCAGTTTAAAAAATTAAAAAAAAAAAAAAAAAAGAAAGAAAGAAAGAAAAAAGGTGAACTCGAAGAATAACATTCAGGCTACAGCCTAAAGGGTAACATTTAAATATGCTTTAGCGGGAGAGCAGCCTTAGGTCTAAGGAACGGGTACAGTATGCTGAGTATAAACACCAGGATGCTTGAGGTGTCGGTGGCTTGCAAATAAATAAGTATTTAAGCACTCTGCTTCCTATTAGACGCTATGTGAGCTTTGGGGAAGCTCCTCTAGACAGCGAGATGCAGAGAAACGAGCAGTGAGGATGATGAAGGCCAAGCTACTTCTGGAATGCTGAAGGACCCTCTTGGGCTGGAGGCAAAGAAAAAAAAAAACAAAAACCCAAAATATTTGTCTACAAGTACGTGCGCATGTGCGCACGCACACCCACACACGTGCATACACACACACACACGCGCGCGCGCACACACACACAGGTACTGGCCTGGCGTCCGGGACATGCCTGCAGAGGAGGCTGAATCTATATTTAATTCGGGCTACCAAAGAATCCAGACTAACACAGCACTGTTCAGTCCCTCCCGCGGGAGTCATGCAGTGAACCAGTCACGTTTTCCAATGGCATCGAAGCCATCGAGCACGATGCCTTTCTGAAGCTGGTAGGTTTGCTCTGGAGAATCTGGGGAACAAGGTTCGTAGGTTACAAAAGGGGATTTTTGTTAAGATTGTGCTTGGCAATTACGGTCTCTTTTTCTTTCAAAACAAAACAAAACAAAACACTGTTTCCTTCCAACTCGTCTGGCTCTTCATCTATTTCTAAGCACAGCAGACCTGAGCCAGGGTCGCATCCAGAAACAACACCTTGGGGGACGTCCCCCCATGAGTATACGACCATGTACAACGTGTAGATGGGTATATACAAATGCCGGCTGGGAGGCCTCCTCTCCGACTCGGCATCCTAACAGCAAACTCTATTTACAAACCCGGTCAGGAGGACAAAGGCTCGTGCCCGGGTCTTGATTCATGCGCCAGGAACACTTTTCCATGGCTTCGGTCTCACTCCCAGCATGAAATACTAGATTGCTTAAGCCTAGATACTCATAGACTTCTGCCCTTTGTTCTAAGAACATTCCATTTTCCACATCAAGCGATCAGGTCTCAGCTTCTAATCTTGCAGCATCATCATACGGTCAAGGATGGTTAGGAGGCCCGCAGGCAACCACTGTCACTTATTCAAATAAACAATCGGTGATGCTTTTCAAACCAAAATCAGAGAAGCCTTGGAAAGGACTCAGGGTGTCCAGCCCAGCCCACCACCCTCCCTTGCTCCAAGTCTGTTATTATTATTATTATTATTGTTATTTTTTCATTAATGGGGGCTGCCTGGCTCTGGGGAGGAGAAGATACAGTTGGAACTCTTACAACAGGATGCTGGCTGGTGACAAAAATCACCGGCCACTCGAGTGTGCGCGTCAAGATGGGATTACAGTGGCGTGTCCACTACTCTGGGACAGGATGCAAGCCGAAAGAGAACAAAAACAACCAGTATAGAAACCAAAAGAGCAGGGATCATTCCTGTTGGGGAGGACCCCCCCACCCCCGCTGGCATGCCTCCTGCGTCAGACATCTTCGTGCACCAGCAGAGGCTGGGTGGAGGATGCGCTGCTGCCCACGGAGTTGATCCGCACAGAATGGTCCACCACGGGCCGCTCCTGGTGGGGACTGCCGTTCGCTAGGTTGGAATAAATCTGAGGAACACAAGTCCGCAGTTAATACGCCGGTCCCCGCGACGAACACGGCGACAGAGGGACACGTTGGCAGCTTCGGGATAGCAAGAAACTTGCAAAGCCTCTTCGAAAAGGGAGGGGATGGATGGGACTTTCATGGCCAAAAATCCCGAGCATAGTGACAAAAGGAAACATAAGCGTTGTTTGATCCCTCATTTCCCCCAAGGTCTGATACGTAAGAAGTAATGGCAATTTAAAAAAAAGAAAAAAAAAAGTACTTTTCTGTTGGGATGTATCTGGGAACGAGGACTACCTAACCTATTAAAAAGGGTTTGTAAACCTCTCTGGCCAACTATAACCCAATGGCGGAGGTCATGTGCTGGGACACCAGTGGCCCTTCCAGGGGTCTTCCATTGAGACTTAAACACATGGGTGAGAAATGCTGTTTACTTTGAAACATGCTCTGACACCCAGAAGTGCTAGCTTGAACCCAAAAATATCAGTGGTATACTCTTAGAAAGGAGAGCTCCAAGCACACAATCCATTAAAAAAGCAGCTTAAAAAAAAATCTGAGTTAAAGCAAGGATCACTAATTCTTCCTTAAGAGTAGGAGAAGAAGGGACGCCTGGGTGGCTCAGTTGGTTAAGCAGCTGTCTTCGGCTCGGGTCATGATCCCAGCGTCCTGG